ATTTCTTCTTGGATTGAGGAGGTAAAAGAGACATTTTGCCAAAGGAACAAGACAATTTACACTTAAAATAAGAAAAATTTGTCTTATTTTCAGATTTGTGGGTGTTTCTACCAGCAGAGGGCAGAACAATCCTCCACATCGACCACAAAACTCCACTTCTTAAATTGATATTTAAGCCTAACCATAAAATTAGTGATATAACATCTTGCTTTAAAGAAAAGCATTGTCTGCCCAATCACTCAATCTACAGAGGAAGCCTGGAAGCCCCCCCCCCCCCCCCCCCAGGCCTAATGCTAAATTCAAACAGGATGCGGTCAATTACCTCAGCTATCTATAAATGTAATGACTTCAGACTCTTTTTCTTTTAGCCTCCAGCTAAAAAACTACAATAGGTGGAATAGATTTGTCATTTGTAGCCGTTATAAAGCTGCTCTGTGAAAAACAAAGAAAATGAAGCGACGACAGCGTGGAGAAGCAATGGAAAAACACAAAAATAGGGAATCACAGCAGTGATGCCTGCAGCAAAGATGTATTTTGATGATGTTCTTTTGGTCGGACGTCCAGGAAAGTGGAAAAAAAGAAAGAAAAAGAAAGAAGGAATGCTTGTGTTTTGCTCAATCTGCTGCCAGCTTCTTATGCGTTTGACGCCTGGTTTGCGAACTGTGTGGCAGACAAGAGAGCTTGTTTACCAGGCGGAGGATGCTGCCTCTCCATTGCTACTCTGAGGGAACATGTCAAGAGCCAGATAATAAGCCCTGAGCTGTTCGGCCACTGCAAAAGAAAAAAAAACTGGGGCAGGAAGTGAAAAAATCCACTCTGCTCCATCAAATAAGCAATTTAACAGTCATTCTCTTTGCTGCATTGTGTCACTTAGGTATGCTTTAGTGACGAAGAATCACAAGAGAAAAAAGAAAGAGATCGGAATCTGGTGATTGCTGAAGTTAGGACATAATTCGGGCGAACAGGAAGGGGCAGGAAAAAAAAGGAGGCTGACAAAGATGAGGCTTGAGGGGCCGAGCAATGAGGCCCAGAGAGCAAAGAACTACAGAAATAACCGACGTTCAGGTTTAAAGAAACTCTGCTCGTTTTAATGGCCTGACGTTTTATTCTGAAAATAGTTTGTTTTACAGATTTTATCGTAGTTTATCTCCACTTTTGAATATTTTAGAATTATCAGTCACATTTTAATATCTGGGCTGCTCAGTGATGCAGTGGGGGGCACTGCTGCCTTGCAGCAAGAAGGTTCTGGGTTCCCGGCCCGATGGAGTTTGCATGTTCTCCCTGAGCTTGTGTGGGTTCTCTCCGGGTACTCCGGCTTCCTCCCACAGTCCAAAAACATGACTGTTAGGTTAATTAGCTTCTCTAAATTTTCCTTAGGTGTGAGTGAATGGTTGTTTCTCTCTTTGTTGCCCTGCGACGGACCGGCGACCTGTCCAGGGTGGACCCCGCCAGCACCCCTCACTACCCCCAGGGTATAAAGCGTGACAGAAGTTGGATAGATTTTAACATCTGAGGTAAGTCGAGTAAAGGCAAAACAAAATGTCTCTCACAATCAGCAACTGCTGCTTCCTTTATATCGAAGGTAGAGCGTCTCTATTAATGCCATAGTGGTGCCGTTGCATCACTGCGCTCCTGAATGTGCCTCTGTGTCCCTGGAAGGGAGTTTGTAGTGAAGCACCACAAGGCTGCATCAATTCGATTTAATTTATATAAAATTAGCTCTAATCAATCTGTTCTGCATTGTACTGGTGGACCTGATCCTGAACGTGGAAAAGATGAAGGAGATAATGTTGGACTTCAGGACTTTTTCTTAAAATAAGTATATTTTTCTTCAATTAAGGAGGTAAGTTAGACACTTTGGCAATGAAACAAAACACTTTACATTAAATATAAGAAAAAAACAATTATATTGTTTTATTAATAGTGAATATTATCTAATTATCTTATTTTAAGAGTAGAAATACTCTTTCCATTGTCAAACCACCTCAAAGTACGGTAAATACACTTAATTTAATAAATGTTTACTAATTTTTAGATAGTTTTTGCTGTGTATTCACTGTTGTCTGAGTTGTAGCAGATCTCCTACCTGCTGGAAAGGATTGGAGCGAGTCTGGTTGCAGTAAAGGTAGTAGTGGACGATATCTGCAGGAAACATCAACATTTGTTATGGTGACAAACACAACATGAATCGTAACTTTTCCTCTTTATTCAACTGATGCTCACCGGCTGTGATGATCCCCTTCGTCTGACCCATGACGTACTTATCGGGTGAGACGCAGAAATCGCTTGTTCCCTGAAAAAAAAAACAAACATAAACCTCTGAGATGTAAACAAGAAAAAAAGCCCCCCAAAGAGCAGGGGGGGTGGGTTTTACAATCAATAGAAATAAACCAGTGCTGTCAAATAAAAGGCAATCTAACTGACCAGCAAGGAAATAATACGTCATCCGGACAGAAGCGCTTCTTCGTTCTGTCGCTCACGGCAACTCTTACTACTCCACAGAGAAGCTAACGAGAAAGCTGCACTGGCAAAAATAATAAAAGTGATGAGCTGCAGTCTCGTCTGAACTCTGCTGGCTGAATGCTAAATGTCCCAGGGGCCCAGGACAAACACGCTGCACATAGCTTAACCTTCTCTGGGGGTTACACTAATGAGCCCCAAACACTCAGATGAGATAAAGCAAGCTGGATCTCTGAGAAAAGCCCAACCCCGTGTGCTGGAAGCAAAGGAGCGTGTGAGAATTCCCAAGAAGACAGACGGAAAACCGAGAGAATACAGAGTTCCGACTGCGTCCAGCTTATAAGAAAACATATTCTAAAGGCGTTTATTCATTATGCAAATATTTATAATCCTCTCAGGCGATAATCCAGCTGTAGACTACAGAACACCTACAGACAGAATATCCCCAGCATGAAATGCTTGCATCTGTCTGCTGCTGATAGCAAAATGTGTGTCATACCACCTGCAAAGATCCAAGACATGCAAACGAAGGCGAAGCCTCCGCACCGAACATAGGAGGGCTTCACTTTCCCTCCATGTGGAGGAGGGGGAGTGAGATAATAAAAGTAGAGCGACTGAATTCACTCAAAGTTCAGTTTGGTTAGAGGTTCATCAAATTAGTAGGGATGCACGATATCGAGTTTCTGGCCGATATTTTAAAACTCATGTAGCC